AGAGAGAGAGAGAGAGAGAGAGAGAGAGAGAGAGAGAGAGAGAGAGAGAGAGAGAGAGAGAGAGAGAGAAAGATGTTGAATAACAAAATCGCGATCTATTTCTCAGTTGGAATGATTTCTCAAAGTTTATTAAGCGTTTTTTATGGAAAGATCACAACAAAATCTACGGGTACTGCAATTTTCAGGTTTTTACATGCATTCTTCTGAGCGGGAAAACTCACTGACTCCACAACCCTAAGGCTGCGGTCTAGTGGGGTTCGGCGTCTGTGTCAAGGTTTCGCATTTTCGGCGGCGGGCGACCACGACGCAAAGTGGGTTCTTAGGGGCCAAAAAAAATTGGGGGGCCGGTCCTTGGCAAAATTGCGAACTACCTACAGCTAACTCTGGTAGAGCCGGGACTTTTGGAAAAAGTAAAGACCGGTCCGGGGATGCAAGCGGACCCCAAAAAGAAGAGGGGGGCGTTGGACGGGTCCACGGGTGGTAGCGGACCCCAAAAAGAAGTGGGGGGTGTTGGACGGGTCCACGGGTGGAAGTGGACCCCAAAATGAAGTGAGGGCATGAGAGCTGCAAAAGGGCTCTCAAGCCCAGGCATTGAGGCCTGTATTATCAAAACAGGGAGGTCAGGCGCAACGAAACAGGCGCTTTGCAAAAGGCCACTTTGACGATTTTCTGTGCTTGGAGGAACCCGCAGAAAAATCTGAATTTTTGAGAATCCATAGACGAGATCGTGTTCTTTCTAGGAAAAATATTTGCATATAAAAAAAAAATCATTTGGACTGAGAAATAATCGTCACGCCGATTCGGCACATTTTTTATTTTTCCACTCAGCTATGTGTGGGCCAACTGAAAAAGTACTCCAAATTCAGTGAGGTTTATGAAAAAAATGCGTGAAAAGACCTGAAAATTGGAGTACCCATAGATTTTGTTTTGATCTTTCCAGCAAAAACACTAAATAAATTAAAAAAAGTATTCCAACTATAAAATAGATCGCGACCACAATTTGATCCATATTTCAATTTTGCCATTCAGCCTCTCTCTCTCTCTCTCTCTCTCTCTCTCTCTCTCTCTCTCTCTCTCTCTCTTGTGAGAGCTCTTAGTCTTATTGATTCGGCTACCTTAGGGCTGCGTTCCCCGCGCCCACGTGGTAGACTATTTGGAGTACTTTTTTGTTTAGCCCACACATGGCTGAGTAATAAAAATAAAAAATGTGTCGAATCGACGTGAGTCACGCGACGATTATTTCGCAGTCTAAATTATTTTTTGAAAATGTTATAATATTATTTCTGAAAAAATCACAACAAAATCTACAAGTACTCCAATTTTCAGGTTTTTTCACGCATTCTTTCTCTCTCAGGTATGCCCCCCGGCTCCCTCTCTCTCTATCTCTCTTCCTTTCTCTCTCTCTCTTCCTTTATCTCTCCCTCTCTCAATCGTATCAACAAATGGAATAAAACTCTCTCTCTCTCTCTCTTGTGCGAGAGCTCATAGTCTCATTGATTTGGCTACATTAGGGCTGCGTTCCCCCCGCTCACACGGTAGACAATTTGGAATACTTTTTTGGTTGACAAAACTGGAAAATGTCTCGAATCGACGCGATGATTATTTTGAAGTTTAAATGATTTTTTTTAAATGTAATAATATTATTTCTGGAAAGAACACTACCTCATCTATGGATTTTCAAAATTTTAGATTTTTCTGCGGGTTCGTCCGAGCACAAAAAATCGAGAAAGTTGCGTCTTGCAAACTGCCTATTTCGCACAAGCGGTTATCGGGTAGCTGAAAATTCAGGAATGAAAATTCGGAAGTGAGAGTTTTCGGCAGTCTGAAAATGTTGAATGGTCCTGAAGTGGTGAAAGGTCCGAAGACATTGAAAACCACCTGTTCAGGAAGGCTGCATCCTAAAGTGGTGAAGGGTGTCCTGAAGTGGTCAAGTGAGAGTTTTGGGCAGTCCGAAAATCCTGAATGGTCCAGAAGGGGTGAAAGGTCCGAAGACCATGAAAACCACATGTTTAGGCAAGTTGCATCCAGAAGTAGTGAAGGGTGTCCTGAAACGATGATGAAAAATACGACTGTTATTAACCTTTTCTCATGTTTCGCTGTGCCTTACTTCCCCGTTTTGAGAAGACAAGCCTTAACGCCTAGGCCTGAGGGCCGGAGGACCGGTCCAACGTCCCTCTCTTCTTTTTTAGGTCCACTTTCACCCGAGGACCGGTCTTTCCTTTTTCCAGGAGTCCTATTTCTACCAGAGCTAGTTGTAGGTAGTCTGCAATTTTGCCAAGGATCGCTCCCCTAATTTTTTTTTGCCCCCTAAGAACCCACTTTGCATCCCGGTCGCCCGCCACCAAAAATGCGACACCTTTACACAGACGCCGAAGCCCACTATACCGCAGCCTTAGGGCTGCGAACAAAGTGGGTTCTTAGGAGGCAATAAAAATTGGGGGACGGTCTTTACCAAAATTGCAGACTACCTACAACTAGCTCAGGTAGAACCTGGACTTTTAAAAAAAAGGGAGGACCGGTCCTTTGATGGAAGCGGACCCCAAAAAGAAGTGGGGGCGTTGGACCAGTGCTCGGAAGGAAGCAGACCCCAAAAAGAAGTGAGGGCATGTGCACTGCAAAAGGACCCTCAAGCCCAAACATTGAGGCCTGTTTTCTCAAAACAGGGAGGTCAGGCGCAACGAAATATACGTTTTGCAAGAGGCAACTTTGGTGATTTTTTGTGCTTGGAGGAACCCGCAGAAAAATATGAAATTTAAAGAATCCATAGATGCGGTGGTTTTCTTTCCAGGAAAAATATTAGCACATTTTCAAAAAATCATTTGGATCATGAAATAATTGTTGTGCCGATTTGGCACATTTTTCACTTTTGTCACTCAGCCATATGTGGACCAACTAAAAAAATACTCAAAATTCAGTGAGTTTTCGCACTCAAAAAAATGCATGAAAAACTTGACAATTGGAGTACGCGTAGATTTTGTTGTGATCTTTCCAAGAAAACGTTAACTAAATTAAAAAAAAATCATTCTTCCTGTGAAAATACATCGTGGCCACAATTTGACCCATATTTCAATTTTGCCATCCAGTCTCCCCTCTCTCTCTCTCTCTCTCTCCCTCTCTCTCTCCCTCTCTCTCTCTCTCTCCCTCTTGTGTGCGCCTTTAGTCCCATCGCTTTGGTTACCTTAGGGCTACGTTCCCCACGCCCATGCGGTAGTCAATGTGTGTGTGTGTGTGTGTGTGTGTGTGTGTGTTTGTGTGTGTGTGTGTGTGTGTGTGTGTGTGAGTGTGTGTGTGTGTATGTGTGTGTGAGAGAGAGAGAGAAAAAGAGAGAGAGAGAGAGAGAGAAATGTCAGTTGGGGCGCAGACAACGGGTAGATGTGTTTGAATCGGGTACTGATTGACTCCAGATCTAGGCACATCTACTGCAAGTGTCGTCTCGACCTGCATCGAGGAACACTTTCTGGACCACGGGCAACTGCCTTTTCCTACGCGCTTTCAGACTTCTCCTCTTCCTTGACTTGGTGCCTCTGCCCCCACGCCGTTTCCATTTCAAAATTTACAACTGAAGGACTGTTCAAGGATTGCGGCCTCCTGAGGGCAGTTACTGGGCGGCCTGGGCCCCACATGCACCCGTTCACGGCTACCTGGGCCACAGGCCTGACATATCCAATTGACTTACCGTGAGGACACGGGTGCGCAACCCGTAGTTTGTATATGCTTGATTGATAAAGGACGCCTTATTGGTGAGGTTTAGAAGTAGGGTGATTGTTTCATTAAAAAAGAAGGAGTATTTGTGTGTATGTGTTGAGACTAGTGTGTGTGTGTTTTGTGTGATACTTAGGGTGTTTGGGTTTATCACATCTGTTAGTGTTGGAACGTGTGGGATTTAGGCAATTTGTATGGCATTAGTGTATTAGATATTTGACATACCTTGATTCATAGTTCGATTCGAGGCTGGTGGTCCTTGAATCTTGGTCCATATGTCGTATATGGGCGTCGTTCGACACTCCTCAACACGTCCTCGGGCTCCGAGGACGAATCCCCGGAGTTTATTTTTATTTTTGGAGGTGTCGTTCCACCTGTCCTCGGAGAATCGCCCCGAGGACGAATCCTCGGGGCCCTCCCGCGGCCAGTTTCATTAGATTATACACGACCGCGAGGGGATTGTCCGACCTCCAATTCGGGGTGTCCTTGTAGGAGGCGTGGCGGTCCAGCAGGCGGACGGCGACAATACGTCACGGACCCTGGAAAGAAAATCGCGAACGCGGGAACGGCCCCGTTCAAAATTCAAAATTCGAATTTGCGTCTTGCGGAGCGACGGTGTGGCGGCGCACAGGAGGGTAGGCGAGGGGGCCAGTGCACGCCTCATAGGGGTTCGGTTGCCATCGCGTTGCGTACTTTAGCGGCGCCGCACCGCCACTGTCTCAAGTGTGGTCGACGCGGCGAAACGAAGAGGGGTATCGGCAGTTGCGCTCGCCACGTGGAGGCGCTCGACGGTTCCATACTTCAGCGGCGATGGGCGGACGCTCCAATCGGGTTGGAACATCGTTGAGCACGGTTGTCTTCCTGACTTGATTGCAAGCGTCTTCAATCGTGGTGGCAGACGTAGACGCAGCTGGGTGGCAGTGGACGTTGTTTTTTGTGTTGGAAGGGCGTAATGGAGGGCTGCGATGGGGATGGCCGTGCTGTGCTGTCGAGGATGAAGAAGACAACTGTCACGGCGGCTGCGGTTGACGTTTGTTCGTCGATTCCAAGTGGAGAGGGTGGCTGGGCGCATGAAGGCAACGCTTTCGAGGCGGCGGCAGAGGCTTCTACTGCAGAGGGTGTTGGACACCCCAGACTGCATTACCACTTCGGAGGCCCTGGTTCAGCTGTGCGCTGCAATCGGGTAAGGTGTGCTTCCTCCGGCGATGCCACGTTGGTGGATAAGGCGGAGAGCTGTCGGGACTTGGGAGGATTTGCAGGTGTGCGATGACGTAACAGACGACTACTTCCGGGAAAAACTCCGCATGTCCAGGAGAGTGTTCATGGAGATCACCGAAGCCTGTGCGACTCATTTGCAATAACAGGTGACGTTTTACGGGGAGCCACTTGAGACGGAGCAGATCGTCGCGTACACGCTATACAGGTGGGCTACAGGAGAGTCGTACGACAACAGCACATCATCCTTCGGCATGGGCAGGGCTTCCGGAGTTCGAGCCGTGTGCAATGTGACAACCGCTATGTTGAGGGTGTACGGGGACAAGATATCGTGGCCGACAGGGGTGCGGAAACACGTCGTGCTACGGGCGTTTCTGGACAAGGGTTTTCCCATCTGCCATGGCGCAGTTGACTGCACACACATCTACGTGGACAAACCGGCGAACGCACCGAGCGAGAACTACTTCGACTGCAAGCACCGTTTCTCCGTCATTGTGCAGGTGGTGGTTGACCTGGATCAGCGCGTGCTTGACGCGTTCGTTGGATATCCGGGGAACTGCCACGACATTAGGGTGATCCAGCTGTCAAGTCTGTCCGGGCGCGTGGAAGAGGGAATGTTGTTTCGTGGGCCGCCTGTCACGCTGCCAGGAGGGGTGAGGACGAACGGATACATCTTGGGCGACAACGGGTATCCTCCTTCTGAATGGGTGGTGGTTCTATATAGAGGAATCAATCAGCACCCAGACGAGGAAAGGTTCGACACGAAGCAGAAGGTCGCAAGATTGGTTGTGGAGAGGGCGTTCGGGAGGTTGAAGGGGATGTGGAGGCTCTTCCTGCGGACGCACAAGACGAACCTCGACACTCTACCGCAACAGTTCACGGTCGTCTGCATTCTCCACAACATCCTGCTCGACACTGGTATCGAGTTTGACGAGAATCTGTTGTGGGAGGTCGACGAGAATGGGGTGAGGCGCCGACTGGACCTGGGGATTCATCATCCCCCGCAGCCAGTGACGATGTTGACTTCGACGCATGCGGCACACACGCTCCACAATGCGTTGGCGGAACGAATGAAACACATGTGATCCTGCCTACCGCCTGCCTATTTCTCTCATAGAAGACTTCTTCGTTGACGTCGTGTTCCGCCATCGTCGATTCACACCGCTTGCGTCTTTCGCTGACGCTTGCAATTGCTTCGGAGGGTTTGCCGTCGCGGACAGGTTGTTTTTAGGTGTTTGTTGTTGTAGTCGACAGTAGACTGCTTATCCAGTTCGTCGATCATTGGCAGTGACGCGGCTTCATTGTCGTTGTAGTCGCCGCAACGGTAGTGTGGTTGTTGTTTCGGACTTCCTTGTTGTTTTAGTGGGGGGGGGGAAAGGCGGGAGGTGAGGGGCGCCACGAAGCACATCACCCGCCGCTGTTTTGCATGCGCTTTACAGCGCTGTTTCTCTTCGTGCGTCCGACTGCTATTCTTTTTTCGAGAACACATGTTTTTATCGAGTACATGAAACGCCTGTCATGTATGTCGTCTGCACTTCTCTACGTTTGATAAAGTCAGTTAGTGAAGCTTCGTGGTTCCGCTAACGACTTACATGCAGTAAAAAAAAAAAAACGAAAGAGAAACTCACGGCCTATTGGTTATTTCGGCAACTGCACGGTGACCTTCCTTTCATTTTTTTTTTTTTTTTTTTTTTTTGATTTCTTCCAGTGTCGGCGATCATCACGATTTATCGATGCCATTATGAACGGAAAGATGGTCAGCAAACATAAAAAAAATGACAATGAAAGTGCGTGGATAGGTTCCTTCCTGTTTTTATTGTTGTCTATTGTTTTCTCAGGTGTCGATGATGATAACGATTGCACGATTCCTAAGATCGAATGAAGGGCCGCATACATAAGAAGACGTGGACGAGAATGCGATGGCCATTAATGCATGCGTCACATGATAAACCCACATAGAAGAGAAAAAAAACAGTATTGCGTGAGCAATCGTAAGCGTTCAAACACACGCCGTCGACACAGAAACATAAATACGAGGAAATCCATTCCATAACACAACAATGTTGAGGCGACGATCCACTTTTCTCCTAACTATCCACCCTCCAAACAACCCACACAAAAGTCGGAGGTGTCGTCCACTAAGCTAAGGGAGCACAACTGTAAAGTGTGCTCCAATCACCAAAAAAAAAAAAAAAAAAAAAAAAAAAAAAAAAAAAAACGTTCACAACACATCTACTTCGACGCCATCTGGTGACGTCGCCACACCGTTGGACCGCGCACCTTCCCCCCGCTCAACCACTAACACCCATCCCGCCCGTGCACTAACGTGTGCAGTTGTAGGCGCACAGTTCGTCGTTTCCTGATCCGACACGCCAATCCGTTGACGATCCGCACCCCGCCGCTGCCTTACGAACGAACCCACGTGTCAACCGCCCTCATCTCCATAACCGTCCGCCGCAGGCCCGCTGCTGATCCAGCCGTGTTTTGCAGCTTCCGCTGCATTCTTCAGGGCTGCGTTGTGCCCGAACACCAACCCGCAATCAGACCATTCCGGAATGCAATGCGGGTAATCTCCCAACGTCAGGTGGACCTTCCCTAGACAATCCAAAACGAGGTTGGCGGTGTCGACGATGTGTCATCGCCAGTTGAAGATGTAGGACCCCGCCGCTATCATTGTGGGTTTGGCGTGTTTTGGTTGTCATCAAGCTAATCCTGGAGCTGTAGTTGTTGCAGCAGTTGTTAAATTTCCATCTCCTGCTGATGTTTCTGGCTGCTGACAGTTTAGAATATTCTTGAGATTTCTTACCCAGGTAAAAAAGTCCGTTGTTAGACCAATCGACTGCCTGCTGGAAGTGTTGCTTTTGCATGTGCCAATACTTCCAGCAATCTGTGATATAACTTTGAAAGTTTTTCTGTTGGAGGATACAGGTATTAAGTTTGTAAAAGCCTGGTCCCCGGTTGGGTTTCTTTCGAAAGGACAGGATGGTCGTGCACATTTTGTGATCAAGTCCCTGGTATGGGCTTGCCGACAAGATTGCTGCCAAAAGCAGGGATCCTTCCATGTCTTCGGAGATGAGAATCAGGTCAATTCTGGATCTCGCATGGCTTTTAGTGCCTGTCTTCCGTAAACATGAATATTGTCTTGTATCTGGGTTCAGATTGCCGAAGGAGTCGAATACTTCGAGTGACAGGCACAGATCGTTTATCATTTGTTCATCCTCCTCGATATATACAGGGACTGGGGAGGGTATCCGCCATCTATCCTGCCATCGGTCCGGGGCAGCATCGCAATTTCCAACTATAATGATCGAAACCCCTTTCGGTATTTGCGCTTTAATATCCTCGAAGAAGGTCCTTGTCTCATTCACTGTGTTGGGAGCGTATATACACAGTATACATACGACTTCTAGTGTAACCAGGATAGATACCCACCTACGGCCCTCCTGGTCCATCACCCAGTGGACCGGGTCTGCCCTGGACTCGGGGGGAACCCAGATGGCCACCCCAACACTTCCGGGCTTCGGGGTGTGGGCCCTAAAGGCCTTGTACGACAAGATCATCTTGTGGATGCGATTGTGCTCCAGGGTGTCCATGAAGTGTGTTTTCTAGACGCAGACTATATCTGGCCAGTTTCTACCCCTCACTCCCTTCATCAAATCCCAGATTGCATTTTGCTTCTCCGGTTTGCAGGAGGCTAAGTCGTTCACATTCAGAGAGCGAAGGTCTAGATCAACCGACTCCTGCATTGGTTCCAAATGCGGTCCTTGTCGTACACCGCACTAACAGGATCTAACTTGCTTGCGCTGTTTATTGTTTATTCCTGTGTGTTATTACCTTACAGGAGGATCCATGGCAGATAATCCATGTCCCAGTCCACGCCTTATCGAAGGAGAGAACATAAGCATCTTTCAACTTCCTGTGTCGTCCAGGTGTCGCTGTGTTCAATTTTGATTGTTGGTAGATTCAGCAGTTGGGCATGGGTGTGCCATCTCATGCCCGCCTCCGTGGTTAGGTCGTATCACATATATACGTCCTTCTGCGCTATTTTGTTAGGGCCTCATGCAACCAAAGCTATGGCTTACGCCCCCGGCGGTAGAGATTCCGCAATGTGCGATTCCAACTCCATCTGCAGAATTTTTGCCGCGGATTCCGATCTATCAAAACCAACCCCAATTCCCCTTTGTGGCATGCTTTCGACGGGTTATACAGGTGAACCGGAGCGGCCCGCAATAGGGTCTTCCTCATGTCCGCATCACAGTAAGGTCATCCTCGTGTGCGATCCGAAAAGGAGGGAGGTCGCTATGGTGGATCGATGTAAGGTTCGAGCACAGGCAGATACCGACGGTCATATTCAGGGTGGCAAACGTCGCCTCCATACAACTCTCAACTTGTCCCACTGCGCCCAATCCTGCTAGAAAAACCCAAGCTGCTAACCGTCTTCACTCCAACCAATTGTCACCTTAATAGACGGCGATGGCCAGCGGCAGAGAGATCGGGTGGAACGAATAAATCCGCGCACCTGATATCCCTGTTGGCCTGCGCATATGTCGGGTGAACGGAGACATTGACACGTCACACTTGTGCTGGTAGGGAAAGGGGGAAGAAGGCTGTTGACGATCTTGCACGGGATCCAAAAGCGAGGATTGGCAATTAGTCAGGAGGGGAAAGAGTGTATCAACACACTCATGCACTCAAGCAGACAGCCAATCACCCAACTACCCGGGTTGCGCACTCATGCGCTCAGCGAGACGAAGACACCACACACCTTCAATACTCATACATCCATAGACTTTCTGACAGCGAAGCATTCAACATTCATAGAGAGTTGCAACCACGGTCGTGCACACCACTGAGTATCGAAACTTAGTCTTTAGCACACACAACCAATGGACAAAGCAACGATGGAGAAGAAGTGAGTCCCTCGCTATTAAAAAATCGCAACAAAGTTGGCACTCCACGTGCACATCCACCATACCCGACTGAAGGCAAGCCATCCATAGCCACAAGGCCCTTCCGCTGGCGACATTCCCCTATTCAGCACTGCTCAATCCCTCTGTCTGCCTTACCCCAAGTCTAGCACTAATTCCACCCCACACCGTCATTCCGCCCCTTCCTTGGTCACGTCAAGCCTGTTCGGCGTCGCAGTCTTCACGCATAGCTTGCGCAGTATTGCAGCTGAGTTCAAAGAGAGCGAGAGAAAGGGGCTGCACAAAGTTGTAGCATGGAAGGCGATGAGTCACCAGCATGCAATGGGGATAGCGAGGGGTGTAGATGAGGAGGAGAGAAGGAAGAAGGTTCCAGAAGGTAAGAAGGCGGGACGATCAAAGTTTTGGTTCACTTGGGGTGGTCGTTCAAGCCACGCAATTGCTTGCCCTTACGGCTTGATCCGACCAAACCAACTGACAACCAAATCAATCACGCCAGCAGGCAAGGAGAGAATAGGACAAAGGATCTAGAGGAAGACGAAGGGTTACGCGGAGATGAAGGATAACAAGAAAGGAAGTTGGCGTGCGCACGCAAAGTGGGAAGCGAGCTTGCGTGGTACTGAAGAATTCAAAAATGCCACGCACGCTCTTGCGGATGCAAAGAAAATTTGAAAGTGTCGTCAACCGAACTCATAATCGGCCGCGCGAGACTACTTTGAACAAGGACAAGGGCAAATCTAAATGATGTATGCAGATGGACCTCAGACACTCAAGATGGACCCCATTTCTGTGGTTATCCAAGATTCGCACTTCGGGGCTTACTTCGGTGTTTTATCCGAAGGGTACGTGAAGCCGCGATGTCCGGACCTTGGCTTATCACACCCGTGAGACCTGCTGGCTGTTTTTGGAACGGCCCAACCATCTCCAAAGGTCTGTACCAGCAGGCGTCTCTGGTGTGAGTCTGGCGAGCTGCTCTAAGGCCAATGATTCCCATGGGAGGCCTTGTGAGCATGTTAACCGTTTTAGCTATTGCAGTGAGAAAGCCACAACCTGTGTTTCAGGGTCTAGAATTCCTAGCCCCCCTTGCAGCCTTTGTTGCACCACTGAGTCCTAGGCTACCCTGTTGAACACATGGGGCATTTCGTGATTGTAGCGCTAGAGGAAGACCACCAGCTGCTATCTTACGCCCCTTGCAACCAAGCGGCTCAGTGGCCAAATAGCTGGTTTGTATTAGAGCGCCATCAGCTCTACATTTCTCATGGCCAGGGCCCTTCCAAAGATAGAAGTGCGCTTGTCCTGCCAGTCTTTCAGCTTTTCCATAACCCAGATCATAACCCATGCATCGTTTGTTGATGGTTTGCCCATAGCCGACAACTGACCACCTAAAATGCAAACGGAGGCTTCAAGGGATTGTGGCCGATTGCCATGACACCGGTGGGTCCTTTGGCGATCCTTCCCTGTCATGGTGCATCCACCAGCCCGGCGTTTTCCTACCCCACTTTACTGCCATGTCTGACACCAAGCAAAAACGATCCATAAAAGACTTGATCTCCTACATGTTTCGGGTTTTAGCCTCCATCATGATGGTCAGATCCTCAGCGAACATCGAGCTTACTGGAATGGCCTCCTCCGGGATGGAGGA